GGAGGACCAGCTTCCTATTGGTACCACAGCAGACATCTCTGGCAGAGCCATAGGGCAGAGCTCCCAGGGTGCAGGGCTTGGGTAGGTCTGTTTTGACAGGCAGGGAAGTTCCACCCCCAGCAGGAGCAGCATCTACAGAATTTGATCCCTTCCTCCGGATAGGGTGCTGTGGAGGTGAGCTCAGGTGTGCGGGTGAAGTATGTGACTGAGGTGAAGGAGCGGGGAGAAGGACAGGTGCAAGGGAGTATGGAGAGGCTTGTGCTACCCCCGCGGATGGCCTGGTAGGCCCAGCCACCGGTGACCACAGTGGCCTCTTCTTCCTCCCAAATCTGGGGTGGAAGACAGCCTTTTCACATCTCACCTTGCAGCCAGAGCAATGGAAATTTGCCCAGGAAGCTTGAGGGTTTGTCTCACCTTGAAAGCACTGAGCCTCGAGCCTGGAGAGGCCTGGGATGGCAACCAGTGTCTGCCTTAGAGCTGGGGGCTGAGGCTGGGAGACAGAAAGTGACCTGTGTAAACTCACAGGCCTTGGGTGGTACAGCCGGAACTGCAGTTTCACCCTGTTCTGTTTGGGGTGAGAGAAGCAAAGGCTAGCCCTTGGGGAAACTGCTGTTCTGCTGATCCTCAGCTCGTTTACAGACCCTGCATGAGTCTTGAGCCGTCCTCTCTCAGCACTGTGGGGAGGAGGCACTCTAGCGCCCCTAGTGGTAGTGGAGGGTTTCTGTGGGGCCACCGACTCTGATTCTTTCCGTTTATTTTTGCAAAACTAGTGGAATATACGGCATGCAGGACACCATAGGCAAGGCCGTGAACCTTAGAACTGAATTGAGCCTGTAATCCCAGTTGCTCTGGAGGCTGAAGCAGAGAATTGAAAGTCCGAGGCCAGCCTGGGCAACTTAACAAGACTCTGTCTTTAAAGCAAAACAAAATAAAAAGGGCCGGGATGTAGCTCAGCAGTAGAGCACTGGCCCAGCCTGCATGAGGTCCTTTAAGTCCAATCCCCAGTGCCAACACAACAATAACAACAACAATTGAATCGAATTTCCCCAGGGAGAAGGCTACCACCTGCCGAAGTGGCACAGTAGATTACAGACAGCCTGCAGTTTAGGGTTGCCAGCAAGTGTCGGTGATGGTGGGGGTGAAGATTAGGGGAAGCGTCCCTAGCCCCAACCCTTTGAACGTGCGAAGGCAAGGTGAACAGCCAGCGAAGGGAAGGCATCTAGGGGTCCTTTCAAGCATGACCACCTCCCACAAAGGGGTGAAGAGCAGGTCCAGGCAAGAAGGGGCAGTGAGGCTGGGGAGACACCTTGGGAAGCTTGTGCCAAGTTGTTAGTGTCTCAGACTCTAGGCAGAGTGTTGGGCTTTTTCTGGTGGTCAGTGTGGTCAGAGTGATCCCTGAAGACATTTAAGGAGACTGGGAGGTACGGTGGGGAGGGAAGAGGCTGGACTACCAGGGAAGCCCGCCCTGACTCTGCAATTCTGAGATGGTGGACCTTGGGCAAGCCATGTGGCTCTCTGGGCCCCCGTCCCCTCATCTGTGAAATGAGGGTGCTAACGATGCCTGCCACTCAGGGTGGCCGCAAGGATCATGCGGTATGGTAGCATGGAGCTTGGCATGGTAAATGTGTGGTAAATGTGAGTCCCTACCATGGCTCCTAGCCATCACTGGGCCATTTGTGGAGAGGTTGAGACTGCAATAAAGAGGTTTTTTGGAAAGCAGAAGGATCTGCAGATGCAGGGTCGAAGTTGCTGACTACACTGGAATCCCCTTGGTGGCCCAGAAAGGAAGCAGAGACAGCGTTGGATGGCAGAAAGGCCATGGCTTCTTTCTGCTCCCAGATCTGAGTGTTCAGGGGCACCTGATCCAAATGGCCCAATGAGTGAGTGGGGACAAGAACCAGGTCCTGATGGCCCAGGAGAGCCTTACTGCTGTCCCATGGCCACCTCCCAGAGCACCCCTTCGGGCCATGTTCCTTTATCCAGGCCTGGCCTGGGTCCTCTCTCAGCAGGACCTCTGCCTTCTCATCTGAGATGAGGACACCCAGCTCAAGGGGTCCTGAGGCCCTGAGGTCTGGGCTCGACACGTGGCCCAGGAGCCACACGTGTGAGCTGGAAGAGCAGCACTCTGCGGTGGGGTTGCCTGCTGAAGCACTGTGGCCACTTCTCCCCGGGGTAAAGTCACAAGACCCCCAGAAAGAAGAAGCCGGGAAAGGGGGTCGTTTAGTCTAGCGGGTAGTAGCCCAAGCTTTGCCGCCTGGCAGGTAAATGTTGCAATTGCTGTGTCCGCTAGCTAGTGTTACAGTCTCGGCTGCTTTTTCTGCAGAGAGGAGCAGTGACACCCACCCTGTGAGGTAGCCGAGAGACGAATGTGGTGTACAGTATGTCATCCTAGGGTTTGTGCTAGGTCGTGCATATTGCAGGGGCTTGATCAATAGCGCACTGATTGAGCACCCGCGGCCTCCAGACTCTACCCCAAGCTCTGGGGAGACGACAGAGAAACAAACCCTATAGAAGCTTGCCGTCCATGGGAGAGGGACAGACAGATAATAAGACCGGTTCCACCCGGTGGAGGAGGCCGGCAGGAACGGGGAGACCACAAAAGACCTTCTGGAGGAGGTGCTGTCTTCGTGAAGTGTGAGGAGGAATTAGGTTTGGGGCAGGAACAGTGTTCCAGTTGGGAGAAGCCACTTGCTGTGTGTTAGGGCCGGAGACAGAGGATTGAAATGAGGAGATGCTTCCTGCCTGGGAGATTATGGGTACCAGGCATGGAGGGTGCAGCTTACTGCAGGGGCTGTCAAGGCCTTTGGGGGGCGTCCATGGACAGCCACAGATGGTACGGGTCAGGAAAACTAGAGTGGAGCCACCTGCCAGGATCCTTTCTCCTGACCTCCAGCTGCCTTCACTCTCTTTTTTGCAGGGACTGAGAATGGGCTTTGCCTTGGGAAAGGACTTTGACACATTTTCAAAATAAAGTGGAGAGTAATCTCTAGAGGGGAAGAAGTATAAACAAGCTTTTTAAATGCACAGGAAATGTGTTGTTTATTTTATTTTATTTTTTTTTTAAGGTGGAAAAAATGCAGCGGAGGGCCTTAGCCAGCTCCCTTGAGTGAAAGTTTCCAACTGCTGTGACAGGAGGTCACAGAGACTTCAGGGAGCCAGGGGCCTGGGAGAGGGGAGTCCCCTAATTCTAATCCACACTCAGCATGCCGCCACCAGGGATTGCACAGCAGGGACAAGACCTGAATTCTTCCTCCCAGGAGGGACAGCTAGGGGAGCTCAGTGGAGATAGCAAAGGCTGGTAGGCAGGGAGAGCAAGTCAAACGTCCTAGCAGAAAGATCCAGATAAGCACAGAGGCCTGGGCAGAATGCGGTCTGGGGGTCAGGGGAAGGGCTTCAGGTGGTCTCTGCAGAATTCTGCCTGGTGGAGATGGACAGCAAGGCCTTCCAGGTGGCGCAGATGGAGGCACACAGGCGCACGGTGGGAAACCTTTCTGCGCTTTGAGCAAGGGACTCGTCCAGTTTTCTTAAACATTTGATGATTTATATAACAAACTGTTGCACTGTATTCATCTGCCATATAATTCACCCACCTGTGTACAATTTACAAAGTTATAGAATCAACACCACAATCATTTATAGTATATTTTTAGAACATTTTTGTCACCCCCAAAAGACCATAGTCCCATTAGCAGTCACTCCCTTATCTCCCCTATTTCTAGGTGACTACTAATCTGCTTTCTGATTCTCTGGATTTGCCTATTCTGGACATTTTATGATATTTGGCCTTTTGTGTCTGGCTTCTTTCACTTAAGCACAGTGCTTTCAAGATTTATCTGTGCAGTAGCATAAATCAGTACTTGATTCCTTTTTTATGGTTAATTAGTATTCATATATCAATATTGTATGTGATATAGGTATGTCGCATTTTGTTTATCTATTCATCGCTTGATGGACATTTTCCACTTTGGGGCCACTGTGAATATGTTGCTATGAATATTTAGGTACAAATTTTTTTGTAGCTGAGTATCTGGAGGGACATTCCTTTATTTTATTCTTGCAGTTCTGGGGACTGAACCCGGGGCCTTCACACTGAGCTACATCCCCATCCCTTTTAAGATTTTTTTATTTTGAGACAGGATCTCACTAAGTTGCCAGATTCCTAGGCTGGGCTCCAACTTGTGTTCCTCCTGCTTCAGTTTCCTAGAGTACTGGGAGTACAGGTGTGCGTCCCCACACACGGTGGGACATTCCGAATTGAATGGCATCTAAGAGAGTTGTGGGGGGAGTGGAAGAAAGAGGGTGAATCAGGGGGAGCTGCCTCCCTCCCTAGTCTGGGTGCTGTGAGGAGAAAGCTCAGGACAAGGTTCCAGCCTCAGTGGCAGCGGGGAATTCACGAGGGCCCCCATCAACCTGCATTGTCCTGTGAGACCCAGAAGCTGTTTGCAGGGCTGGAAATAGCCTGCGTAGGGGGCTGGTATTTTCCCTGGAAATCAGGTACACCGCCCCCCAGTCCTGCTGAGGGCCAAAATTAGTGCATCACAGAAAGAAGTGTAGACTCTATAGCTGGGCTAGAGGAGGGAGTGTGGTCAACAGGAAGCTATTGTCCAGGGGAACGAGGTGTTCAGGAAGCCCGAGGTCAGTAAGCCTTGATGCTCCTGCCCCCAACACACACAGAGAGATGGCTTTGTTTATGGGACACGCTGCAAGTTATCTGTTGACCCCATCTGACATGTGGGGAAACAAAGGTACTGCATTAAAGGACTCTGCCACACAGAGACAGAAAGGAAATCAAAGCTGTTCTCCTCTGAATATCACATTTGGTAAAACCACAGCCTTGTCCCCTGTCCTCTCCTGTTTTGGAACAACACTGGGGAAAACCGAGGACAGAAAAACAAGAGAGTTGTGCTGTGATAGTCTCCTAAAAAAGAACACCAGACCCCAAAACAAAAACACATAATAGGACTTTAATTAGCATCTTTTTCCTTTTTTTAATTCTCCAGCCAGAAAACATTATGTTGTTAGACAAGAATATTCCCATTCCACACATCAAGCTGATTGACTTTGGCCTGGCTCACGAAATAGAAGATGGAGTTGAATTTAAGCACATTTTTGGGACACCAGAATTTGTTGGTGAGTTTTAGGCCTGTTTCTATCCCAGAGCAGAATCTGGCAACAACAGATAGAGAAATCCCAAGAACAAACCTTGGGTCTGGGGCCGTGGCCTCTGGGCAGAGGGTCAGTGCCTAGGACCCCCTAGAAACCTAGCAAGTGGGAAGGAAGTGTTGCCAGGCCCCTGGGGGAGGAGCAGGTGCAGGCTCTGAGTAACCAGTAGGCCAGGGGAGCAGAGACTTTTGCAGAATCACATCTTCCCAGAGCTGGCCCCACCTTTCATCCTTAAGTGGGTTCCCTGTATAGATTTAGAATCCCCTTCACCTCTTGCGTCCTCCCACCAACTCAGCCTTCAGGAGTGTCTCATGATTTCCTGCAAAGGAAAGCAGCAATCTGCCCAATGCCAGGTCTACCCACTGCTGTCCTGGGTTCCTGGCCTTTATTCCTGCAGGGGGGTGCCCAGCTCTAGTGGACCCTGGCTGCTCTCTTTTCCCTTTGGAGGGTGCTCTTTCACCGTTGGCCCAGGCCCCATGTGGGGATCCTGTACTTCCTCATGGGGGCTTGAGCTAGAGTTTGGGAGTCACAGAGAAATAGCCCAGCAGAGAGGAAAGGACTGCGTGTTGAGAGACTACGTCTCCCTCTCTCTATTTGGGAACTGGAGTGGCCTTAGAGGTGGAGGCAAGGTGCGGTTTCCTCAGAAACTGGGGTCTGAAACTCCTGACCACAGTTTAATCACTAAGGAAGACTGAATGTTCCAGTCCTTCGAGCTGATAAACCTCAGACCATAGATACTAGCTCTGCAACCACTAGAAATAGGATTCCAGAGACCTCCCAGGCCCCAGAACAAGGAACCCAGACCATGCGCCAGGAGCTCTGCAGATTTTGTCTTAGACAATTCCCGAAGGACTTCATGAAGCCAATTAAATTGTCTTGTCCATCAAGTGCCTGTGTTCCAGGAAACCCAACCAGTAGGTGGTGGCGCTGAGATTCCAACCAGATAAGCCAACAGCGAAGCTGGTTTCTTCCATTACACTGAGTTGTCTGTCTGAGAAGACCCCGCCCTCAAGGAGCTTCGAATGTCATTGTGGACTCGAGACATCAAACCACCAAATAAGAGTCTAGATCACCTGGTCTAGTTTAACAATACGAAAATGCAGGACTGGAGGATTCCAGTTAAGGTCTCCAGAGCCATTCTTCACTTACTACAGGACAGATTTTAGGAGAGCTATGAGGATATGCTCGTAGTAAGGAGCCACACTCAGAATGACATACCCAAGGTCACCAGAGGATGTGAGAGCCACCTTGAACCACAAGACAAAAGACATCTAGACTCAGATTTTGTCTAAGAGAGCAGTTGCCACCCACTATTTGTATATGTGGTAAAAATGTATACATTCATTAGTGAAGTTTACACCAACTGCTCAATAACAGTAAACTAGAAAATTCAGAAAAATTCAACTAGGAAATTCAGGGCAATAATGGAAGAGGCATCACAAGACAGGAAGTATTTAAAGGAAGTAATATAGGCAGCTCTGGAAGACGGTTCAGAGAAGACATCCAGTCTGCCAACGTCCATGGGTTCATTCATGACTTTGAGTCAGTGAGTGACAAAAAGCGGGTGTTGGGGATAGGAGAAGTTTCTGACAGGCCAGGAAGAAGGCCAAGGTGGAGAAGAAACAATCCCAGGTGCAGTGGTGGCACAGCAGGGGAGGAAGCCAGCCTGAGTGAATCTGTTAGGGACAAGCCGGTGGCCACTCTGGGTAGCGTCGAGAATTCATACCAGATTGTTGGTATGGGCAGGTTGTTGATGGCTGGGAGTATACCAGGAGGAGCGTTTTGCCCGGTGGTGGACTGGTAAATTTCTAACGACCGATTCGCCAAAACAAATCCTTAAGTTATAGCAATGGCCAATTTCCGACTACCAACAAGTCACCAAATACAGAGTTGGCTCTTGTCACCATAGTTTTTTGCCCTACTTCACAGCTATATAAGGTGGCTTCTCTAAGCCCCTGCCTAAATTGTGATGAATTTGGCCTGACAAGACCCCCGAGGAAAAGGCTACAGCCATACACACCCCCTCTGCCATTCCCTTGAAATGTCAACTGGAAACCTAGAGGCACCGCCAGCTGCCAGTCCAAAAAGTCCTCACCCTACACAACCCAATCCTTGAGAAAATTTCTTCTTAATGAAGTTCTGAGTTCATAGGAAATATGCAACAATCTTTAAAGGTCATAATTCTTTCTCACCCCTAAAATCCAGTGAGCTGAACTTAGAGCTGGAGCTGTGAGCAGCAAGAAAATTGCATAGGAGGAAGCTCTCCTGATCATAGTGACCAGAGGCTTGCAAGAGGAACATACTGAGGGACATAGCATGTTGAAATCATCAAATGCTGACTATAAAATAGCAAACCATATAGAGAAATAAAAGGTAGAATCATAAGAATGAGCAAGAAAAAAAGAGATGTAAAAGAAAAAAATGACCCGGCAAATTTTTGAAAGAACCAAATAGAACTTAAAGAAATTCAATGTACAGTCGTGTGTCTTAGCCTGTCCCACCAGCCACATCAGTAAGATTTAGTAAAAATGACTTCCTGGAAAAATCATCACACTCTGGATGTCACAGCAATGTCAAATTGCTAGAGTCTCTCAGTACATATTCCTATTCTGCGCCAACTTGTTAGACCAATCTGTGGATTGTCTGTGACCCACTTTGCATTATCACTGTCCTGAAGAAAGTCTTTCACATGCTTGTGAGGACACATTTACAAAACAATGTCCATAGCAATAGTGTTCCAATAATGAGAGAAACGGGAACCATCCACATGATCTCTGAGAGGAGCATGTATGAAAAGTGATAGTAACTATGGACAGAACTATTACACAGCACGGAAAGTGGAAGACCACGGACAAACAGTGAGCAAGAAGCGAGCGAAGAACAATCAAGTGACAACACATCCCATGCAATTTGATGCCATTTTTGTGAAACTAAAAAATAAGCAAAGCTGGGAGAGTGGTTCTCTGTAGGAAAGACAGAAGTAGGTGAGAGAGGAGTCAGGGATGGCAAAGATACTGCTTTAGATCCTGTTCTAGATAAACACATTTGGTCTTTCCCAGTCCCTACTGTTTCCATGGGGAGTTAAGTAGTCTCAATTCTTCCTCCTTCTGTAGATACTGCCCCGTCTTCTGCTTCTATTTCATTGCCAACCTTTAAAATTGTCATCAACACCCTTATTTCACTTCCCACCCTTTGGACCCTGGGCACTGAGTGTGGGTTTCAACACTCGCTCTCCAGTGCTCATCTGATTGGTCTCTCTGGGTACTGTGTGGACCTCTTTTGTCCCCGGGAGTCTTCTCTCCACCTCCACACCCTTTCACACTCACTGGGTCATTAGCTCAGCTCCACTTTGTATCTGGACATCAGTGGCTCCATATTTGACGCCGCAGGCCCAGCTGCCCTCCCATCTTCCCTGGCTGCTGCTGGGGCCCCTTGGGCTCATCATCTCACCTCGCGTCCCCCAAGGATGTACTCTGCCCCTCAGGTGGGAGATCCCCTCTTCTGGCCAGACTCGGGAAGGTGATTCTCTCTCTCTGGCTTCTTTTCTTTGCCTTCACCTTTCAGCACTGACCTGACTGTGTCCACCAGAGAGATCTAAAGCAGGCTTCATCATGAGGGCCCTGTTTCGCCTTCCTTGTGGCTCCCCATGCTCCTGTTCCTATAAGGGAGTCTCTATGTCCTTTCCCTCTCCCTCACTATCAGGCCTGTTTGTAGAAGGTTTCTACCAGATTAACAGGGAACTCAGGTCTCAATCTGTTTGGGACTGCTGTAACAAAACGCTTTCAACTGGGTAATTTATAAACAATAAAAAGTTACCTCTTATAGTTCTGGAAGCTTGGAAGTCCCAGATCAAGGCCTCAGCAGAGTCAGTGTCTGGGGAGGAACTGTTCCTTATAGGTGGCACCTCTGTGCTCACAAGGCAGGAGTGAGCAGCTTCCCCTGGCTCTTCCTTCTTCCAGTCTCTCACTCTCTGCTTTGTCTCGCTCGCACTCTCTCTCTCTCTCCCTCCCCCTTGTCCCCCCCTCCCTCTCTGCCTTTACATGATCTACATCCCTACCCCTTTTTTATTTTGAGGCAGGTCTTGCTAAATCGCCCAAACTGGGCTCACACTTCTGATCTCCTGCCTCTGCCTCCCAGAGTACTGAGGTTATAGGCGGGTGACACATGCTCAGCTCTGGGGTCTTTTATCGGATCCCTTCTCCATGACCTAATCACCTATTGCGCTGGGGGGTGAGATTTCAACCTGTGAACTTTGGGGGAAACATTTGGACCACGGCAACGTTCTTCCTCAAAATCCTTAGAGATCCAGATTATCTTTATCTGCTGCTTAGCTTTTCTTCACTGGGGATTCAGTATAGAGACGCTGGAAACCAAATTCCCCAGAATCCCTTCCATCCTCTCCTCTCAGTTCTTCCTCGACTTGACTCCTGAACATGACTTCTTTCAGCTCCAGAAATCGTGAACTACGAGCCCCTGGGGCTAGAGGCTGACATGTGGTAAGTGGTACAGGCTACTCTGGGTGCCTACGGACCCTCCCCAGAGCAGAAGGCTTCCGACCCCGTTTTTGTTGACTTCCGGTTGGCCCATGAACCCCATTTTTCCGCACTCACCTTTCAGAGTCTCTGGCTGTGGCCAGGGCAGTAGGAGGTGGCGGGGGGGGCAGGGCCAATGAAGCCTCGCCCTGGGCCAAGACAGTGGCGACAGCGGCTCCTGGAGTCGGCCCACCAAGTGTTCATTGGGAGCCTCCTGTGTCCTAGGACAGCATTATCCTGGGCAGACTGGGTCGTTTCCTGGGATCCATTTCTCTTTTTGAATGCTGCTTTACAGTGGTCAAGGCCTTCATGACTCTCCTAAAACCCTGCCAGCTGTCCCGCGGGGTGGTTCTCATTATCCTTATTGTAGAAGGAAAAGGGGGCTCAGGGGTGGTGAGCGATTTGCCCCAATGGCAGAATCCGCAAGGCAGTAGTCATATCTGCCTTCAGGCCTTTGGACTCCAGGGGCAGGGCCCAGTGCTGCTTAGGAGTGGGATGCAAGAGGCATGAGCTTGAGACGCCACCCAGGGGCTGGGAGGAGGAGGGGAAGGGGAGGAGGAGAAGAGTGGCCTCTCGCTCTGAGAATGTACAGGGAGTCCCTTGCGGGGCCAGGCGGTCCTGACTCGACTGTCCTTTGTTTGCAGGAGCATCGGGGTCATCACTTACATCCTGTGAGTATCCTGATCCCGGCCCCTGGGAAGTGGGAGGAAAGACAGAGGGGCAGGAGGATGCATGGGCTGACCTGGCTGAGCAGGCTGTGCGCCTTAGGTTCACCCAGCCCTGAGGCTGCACCTCCCAATCTTGCCTCTTCTCTCTTCCCTTACCTCTTCCTTTCTCCAGATCTCTGTTCTTTTTTTTGGTACTGAGGATCGAACTCGGGACCTTGTGCTTGCAAGGCAGATGCCAGAACCACTGAGCTAAACCCCTCTTGCTGTCTCTCTCCTTTCTTTCCCGCTTCTGTGTCCTGAGTTTGCCATCGCTTATGCAGAGAGCTCCTGCTTGGTTCCTTCGTGCACTGGGTCTCCTGCGCTGGCCCTCAATGGTGCTTATGCTTTGGGTCTGCTCTTCTCATCAGAAAAATAAGAATAACAGACTCGCTGCCCCAGGGAGGGGCACCCCCTAGGCCGACACAGACACAGTTCCTAGGCCGTACAGTGGTGCCCACTTGGCAAAGTGAGCTCACAGCTGGGGGGCCGGGGACCACGCCAGTGCTCCATAGATGAGGCTCATTCTCTCAGTGGTCCCATCAACCAGGTCTGTGGCTCACTGCAGTGCTTGGCTAGGAGCTCTGTCCACAGCACGTAGGTGCCCTGGGCAGCTCCAAGGTCTCACTGCTAGCCCAGGCCCCGCCTTAGGACTCTGAAGTTAGAACTGTTAGGGGTAGGACCTCAGCATTACTGTCTTTAAGAACCCCAGCTGAGGCTGGATGTGATAGCGCACACCTGTAATGCCAGCACTCTGGGAGGCTGAGGCAGGAGGATATCAAGTTCAGGCCCAGCCTGGGCAGTTTAGCTACCTTGTTTTAAAATAAATAAAAAGGGCTGGGTACGTAGCTCAGTGTGAAGGCTCTGTGTTCAATCTCCAGTATTAAAAGTAAAAAGAAATAGTTGAATTTGATGCCACGAAGCTGAAATTCCTAATCAGAGCCAAACTATTCAAATGTAGGCTTGCAACATTTCTGGGTTTCTTCAGGACTCTCCTTATACTGAGCTGTGAAGGAATTCCAGGGTGTACAGCGCACACAGCCTTCTTAGGGCTCACTCAAATCGGACACCACTTTCTGGGTGACCTGCACTTTCGCAGGCGCAGGCGTGGTGCCAGGTGCTCGGGTTACCGATGTGAAGGGGGTCTGCCCTGCTCGCCAGGGCTCTTCCACGGGGACACCTCACAGCTGACTCCCACCCCAGGGCCCACGGTCACACCTCTGCAGGACAGATGGGGAGGCCCTGGCTCCCTGGGGCCGCGGAAGGCTTGGCAGGGGAGAGAGAATGATAAAGCAAGGTGTTAGAACGGGGTGTGGGGTGTGGGAATGAAGTCAGTCCTCTGGTGGAAGGGAGAGGACAGGAATGAGTTTAGGTGTGATCCTGTGCAAACTGGAGCGCCATAGAAAGCTCTTTGTGTTCTAACAATGACAGTACAAGGACCATTAATTCTTAGTATGGCTCAGGTTACACAAATCTTTTTATATATACACCGATTCTTCACCACAGCCCTTTGAGGTGAAGGTGATTATTTGCTTCATTTTACAAATGAGGAAACAGCTGCTCAGAGAGGTTGAGGAGCTTCCCTGGGTTCAGGCAGCAAATGAATGGCTGAGTTGGAGTGAAATAGCTGAAGTGTCCCATGGCTACCACCACGCTAAGAGAGCAGCAGTGGGGACGGGAAAGACCTTCCAGAGATACCAAATAAATGGAAACAGTGTGACTTTGGGTGAGGGAATAGGAGAGTTTGAGGTGACCGCTGTGTCCCTAGCATGGGTGCATTTGTGAGGTGATGCTGTTAAGGCATGGAGAGGGGTTTGGGGTCAGTGGCACATCTGGGTAGAGGCGGCCCAAGAGCCCCTGCAATACAAATCGGGAGGTGGTGGCTCCAGGAGTCACAGTGGAGGCAACATCCTTGGTGACCCTCTTGGGGACCCCATAGACCCTCAGTCCCGAGTGGCCCCTTATTTCTGTGCATCTCAGCCTTTGTTCAATTTCTCCCATGACCTGGGGATCTTTCCATCTCTTCTGGCTGCTGACAGCCTTCAAGATGCAACCAGTGCAAATGTCAGCTCTCCTGCATAGATGCCCCACCCTCTTCCTGCGTTCCCCCAAGTCCTTTATCAGGTCTCCTGTTTTATTTTCTTGGTTCTTCAGGGGATTATAAAGAGCCGCGTCTCTGGGTCTCTCTCCTCTCTCCTGTGAGACTGTTGAAGGCCCTGTTTCTCCTCTGTTGGGTACTTACCGGAGCTGCGGGAAGTGGGTGATTGGACCCCATTGATAAGGCTGCTGTTGGCTGCCCTGATGGGGTGGCTGTGCCGCCAGGAGCCCCCAGCTCACAGCAGAGTGGGCCAGGGCTCCTCGGGTCCACCACCCCCGTTGCCATCTACTTTCCCAGTCACGTGTTTCTCTCTGTTGTGCTCAGCCTAAGCGGAGCATCCCCTTTCCTGGGAGACACGAAGCAGGAAACCCTGGCAAACATCACAGCCGTGAGTTACGACTTTGACGAGGAATTCTTCAGCCAGACTAGCGAGCTGGCCAAGGACTTCATTCAGAAGCTTCTGGTTAAAGAGACCCGGTAAGAGGACAGAGAAAGGCACTGGGTTCTCAGGTACCGATCCTCTCCTGCTCTCAAAGTTGTGTTGGTCTGTCCTCCTTTGTCACAGCTGTCACCGCCACCATTGTGATCTAACCCAGGCAGGTGCTGGGAAGTGAGACTGGCCAAGACACTTGTTCACCTTGTTTGCCCAGACCACTTGCTGAAATGGAGATAACTCTGCAAGCGCGCGTGTGCGTGTGTGTGTGTGTGTGTGTGTGTGTGTGTGTGTGTGTGTTCTTCAGGCTCATTATCTTGTACAGTCTGTCCCAGAGGCACATGGAACTCCGACTGGAAAAGTAAAACTGCAGGATTTTTTTTTTCTATACTGTACTTAATTTGTTAAAAAAAATTTATTAGTATATATCTGCCATACATAATGATCACATTCACCATAGGCAATTTGTATGTGTACATAATATGACTTAATTCTTCTTTTCTTCCCATATCCCTCCCCTCCCTTCAGCCCTTCTTTCCCTCTCCATTTACAAAGCTTTGTTTCCATTTTTTCCCTTCCACTCCCTTTTTGAAATCCCTTTCCCTTCCTTTCCTTCCCCCCTCCCTTGCTCCCATTCCCATTTGAACATGTTCTTCCTACTTCTTGATATCTGTCCTTGTTTTGATCCTTATTTAACCTTTGTGTTTCTTATACAAGAGAAACAAAAGCTGCAGGGTTTTCCAGCCCTTTCAGACTGGGAGTGGAGGGAGGAGGCCCGGAGAGGTCAGTAGAGTGCTATCTTAAGTCTGCCTTTCATGGGCTTAGACATGTGAGAAAATAAACCCCAGTTCTGCGCCCAGGTCAGCCTGGGTCCGAGGAGATGGGCAGAGAATTGTAGGGTGCAGGGTCCCCAGAGCAGGGCCTGGATGGGGCTGGCTTGGCCTCCCAGACTTCAGAGGCCCAGCATGGGGTCTTCTGAAGTGCAAGGCCCCTGACTTCCCTGGGGAAGGGTGGGCCAGGGAAGGCCTCCCTACCGAGGGGCAGAGCAGTGAAGGGCAAAGAAGGGACCTTAGAGGCGAGAAACCGGGATTAGAAGTTTAGCTGCGGCGAGCTTGCATTTGGAGAACTGTGGAAGCCACGAGAACTGTGATCAGTACTAGAGGGTGGCATTTGGCCTTCCAACTTTGGAACTTCAGGTGAGTGTGCCGAGGCAGTAAGGTCTCCCCATGGGGGGTCTGCCTGAACCCCTTCCCTGGCGCACAGGGAGAGCAGCCAGTTCCCTTCCACTTCTGCACCCTCCACTCTGCAGCTCTGAGGGCACAGTCAAAGAAAGCTCAGAGTAAGAGTGGAGACTGTCACCCCCGCTCTGTCCGCCTGGATCATCACTGTCTTCTAATCCTCATTGCAGAAAACGGCTCACAATCCAAGAGGCTCTCAGACACCCCTGGATCACGGTAAGAGCACGATGATGAATTCCTGTTCTGTCCCAGGCTGGCTGTGGCAGCCACCGCAGAGGCTTGTGCAGAGGCTTTGGTGTGAAACACTAACCTCTGGGCACAGATGACAACAGTCAGGGACCCCAAAGGCCTGTGCTTGCTCAAATAAGGGTACCTTAAGTTTGCATTTCATGGGCCCAGACAGCTTAAGAAATAAAACTTTCACAAACCTCAGTTGAAACTCTTTCTGTTTTGGGCCATCTTACAAAATGTTTTTTGTTAGAGGACATGTCACTGTCACTTCTCAAAACAGAAATAAGGATTCCTCTGTTGAAGAGAGATCAGTGGCAATTAAAAACCCTAGCTGGAAGCTGAAAAAAAAAAAAAAACCCTAGCTGGGGGACAACCCACTTTCCCATCCCCCTTCTGTCTCTCTTAGAAGCTTTCTTTCCCTCAATACATTTTTCCGACTCTTAAAAAAACAAAAACAAAAACAAAAAAACCTAGCTGGGGCTGGGGATTTAGCCAGTGGTTCTGCCGCTTGCCTCGCAAACACAAGGTCCTGAGTTTGATCCCCGGTACCGCAAAACAAAACAAAACAAAACAAAAAGACAAAAACCTTAAAAACCTTAGCTATGTAAGCAGGGCTCTTTCTTTTTGACTTTTGGAGTGGGGCTTTGAGAAAAGGTAATGCAATGATCATTCCCTGCGCTTGAGGAACTGGGCTCAGAAACAGGTGGAGAAGAGGGGCCACCACCCCATTAGGGCAGTTTGGTTCCCTCCGGGGAAGGTTGGGCCCAAAGGCGAGTCCCTGCCTAACTTACCTTGTGCTCGAGCCTCTGACTGCTGGTTTCCAGAGGACCTTGCTGTTTGTGAAGGGTAGGGGTCAGAGACCAGGATTCTGGCCCTAGTTCTGCTGACTGACTAGCTGCGCACCCCGCTACAGTGTTAAAGAGAAGGTGGGCAGGATATGAGTGTGCAGATAAGAGCAGGAGAAGCAGGAGTATCTGTGAGAAGGTCAGGTGCACCTGCTTGTGGAAGGCTGGGAAGGGCCGAGGTCCCTGCAGGAGGAGGAACGGCCAAGAGCAGAGAGCCGGGGAGTCTCTCGGGCTGCTTTCTGCTGAGCATGCTGAAGATTGCCGAGGCCTGAGCAGCTGTGAAAGAGAGCTGCGCCTCAGCCTCCCTCTGCCAGCCCTTGAGTGAAATGTCCGCAGAGTCCTGGCTGCAGCCTGCTTGTCTTAAATGCTATGCACGTGGAGGCCTCCTCTAATGGCCGTGGACCCCCTGTCCTGAAGCGAGCATGCAGGCAGCACCCCCACACTCCTTCGCCTTTCTTCCGGTGCATGTCCGGTCTCCCCGCAGCCTGCTGCATGCAGTGAATGCCAAGAAAGCCACGTGTGTGCCCACCTGCAGCTTGGACTGCACTTTGGAGCCATCGTGTTAATATTCTGGCTCTGCTGTTCAAACACCTGCCAGTCAAAAGGAGAAGCCAGAGCCCCTGGGCAGCGGAAGACGCAGACCGCCCAGCTGAAGACCAAGCGCCTGAGAGAGTACACCCTCAAATGCCACTCCAGCATGCCCCCCAACAACACCTACGTCAACTTCGAGCGCTTTGCCCACGTGGTAGAGGACATAGCTCGGGTGGACCAGGGATGTCGCGCCCTAGCAGGGGCCCATGACACCCTCCAGGATGATGTGTCAGCCCTGCTGTCCATCTACAATGAGAAGGAGGCTTGGTACCGAGAGGAGAATGAGAGCGCCCGGCACAACGTGTCCCAGCTCAAGTACGAGTTCCGCAAGGTGGCATCCTTGAAGAAGCTCCTTCGAGAAGACATCCGGGCCACGGAGTCCAGCCTGGGCACCGTGTCCAGGAAAATGGACCGTCTGCAGGCACAGTTCGAGGCTCTGAGGCGGGAGCTCTCGGCAGATCTGCAGTGGGTGCAGGAACTGGTGGGCAGCTTCCAGCTGGAGAGTGGAGACGCAGCTGGCCTAGGCGCTGTGCTCCACTGGGACCCCAGCGAGTCCCTGTCAGAGCTGCTCAGCAGGTCGCGCGCTGAGGAAATCCTGTGCAGCCTAAAGCTCTGAGCGCCTTGCCCTGTCAGTAACGTGTGCAGGATGGTTTGCCAAGTGCACTCTCATCCGCACCAGCTACAATCGTCCTTCAGGGCATGGGTCTGCAGCGCAGCCTACCCCTCCCCAGAAGCCACGTCACTCTGCACCTCCTCTTGCCAGCCTGCTTTTCTGAGAAGTGCCGGCAGAGCAGCCAAGCTGTGAAAACAGTTAGAGATGAATACCCCTCAGCAGCCCACTTCCCCAGAGGGGGGACAGATGGCTGCCCCGGGGAGATGCTTGCTAATTGATTTGTGATGATGCGCTGCTCCCCCCACAGACCGTATGACTGCATATCTTGAGTAGTAGTTGAATTAAGGATAACAAAGTCAGCGTGGTGCTTTCCTGCTGCAGAAGTGGGGATTTCAAATGCAGAGAAAATAATACTGCCTTTCATTTGAACTGACTTCTCACTTGGCAAGTCTTTGTGTCTGTGACCTCACTTCCTCCCCAGAGTGCTCTGAGCCAGGAAGGTGGGCAATGATAGGATGAGGATGATGACTTCTGCCTCAGTGCGGAGGAGCTTGACTCGGAGAGGGAGAATGACTCAGGATCATTCATCGCCAGTAGAGACAGCTGAAACACAAACCCAGGGTGCCCGTCTCTCAGAGGAGTTCTGTGGGAGGACGTAGGAGGCTTAGCTGTAAATATTAAACTTTAGTGTTAAGGCTCAGATCCCGGACACCAGGTAAGCAGCTGCATGTGTTTGGCCAGGTGTGGATGGAAAGCAAACACTTGCAGAGATTGTCCCAGGAGCTGTGTCCCAGATGGTGCCATGTTCCTACCAGACCAACCTTCATGACAGGAGGAAGGGGCAGCATCTCCCTGTGCCCCATCCTTTTCCCCCAACTCCTGTCTAAGCACTCCAACTTTGTGTTGAGAATGAAGACCAAAATGTGCTCAACAAAGAGATTCCTTTTCATAAGTGCTAGGCCATTGGGCCCGGAAAGCCTAAGGAATTCCATGAGAGTTTTTGACAGGGGTGGACATGAAGATTGGGAAGGATCAGGCTCTGTGGTCCCTTCACAACCCACAGCTTTGAGCATCCCTCCCCGGGACTGTGTGATTTCATCCCCCTTTCCCTCGAGGAGGGATGAGTCGGCATTAATCCTCGACAGAGCGTGGAATATAGACCCAGAATTGAGCTAGATGCTTGGGGTTGGCGGAAAAGACTATAGAATTTGGAGCTCTTCACAGCCTCACAAAACACCCCCCTGAGAAATTTGAATAGAATGTTATTCCCGGTTTAGAGATAAGGAAACAGAGAGGCGATGTGATTTGGGCCTGAATCACATGAGTCACAAAGTGGGGGCCTTCTGGTGACGAGTCTGTGGCTCTTTCTGCTTCTCCCAAGTATCCTCAGCTCCAGAAGTTTACCCTCTGTTGTGGAGGCAGACGATACCCTGAATCACCCATCCCTTCACAAGTAATTATCAGGCGCCTACCAACTTAGAGACGCTGAGCTTGAGTCTGAGGATATGCCAGGTACCCAGCCTGATTCCAGCCTTCACAGGGTTCTTAGTCCAGTGCAGGAGCCCAGCTTTGATTAAGAATCACATGCATGTAGCATGCAGCTGCTCAGGTGCTATGAGAGAGAAGCAAAGCCTGCAGCGGGATTTGATCTGGAAGGGCAGACGTCCTGGAAGCAGGCGACTGGGCCCTGCGATCTGCTGAACAACAGGGCCATCACCTCAGGGGACTGTGACCGGAGAGAAGCATAGAAGGCTGGGCGTGCAAGGGCCGGGGAAAGCTGGAAGGGAGAGAGTAGGACTATGGTGTATCCATGGCTGGAGAGGAGACAGGACCAGCGGGGCTTTGGCTATGTTAAAGAGCTCTGCCCTTGACTCAGAGTCACGGGAAGCCACTGAGGGGACCTGGGCCCAGTGAGTGGCACGGCCTAGGAGTAGTTTCAGACAACATAGGAAATATGGACCTCGTGAAACATTTCCTTCACAATCGGATCTCCTTTTCTATTAGTACGATGGGTCATTTCAAATAGATATAATATTGTCTCAGGATATTTTACATCAAATATAAGAAACCATGATCGAGGGCGGGGTATTTAGCTCAGCAGTTCGATGGCCTGCCTCACAAGCTCAAGGACCCAAGTTCAATCCCCGGTACCAAAAAAAAAAAAGAAACCATGATCATGAGGAGTGTCATTACTTTATACATCATTAAGAAAAACAAAGGCCAGTATGGGAAGTCTAAGAGACCCCCCCCAAAATAAACTGTGGCACCATTGGTGAGTGGGTGAATGAGAAATAGAACCACTGTGCAGAAAGGGAGCAAGGAATCAGTTGGGATGACCCTAGGTCGGTGGACAGTCGCCCTGAGCGTGGGTGGCCTGGACTTCTAGTCCTCCTGCAGTTTTGCTTTTTGAATGTGCAATCAGTATGACACTGAAGAACGTCAAGCTTTAATGTCACACACACACACCCCACACACTTGCCGTCTGAGGCTGGTGGCCCCACAGGGCTGGCAGAAGCAGCACATCATCCCCTCCCTGACTTTCCTCCAGATAGACAGTAATGATAAGACGACGCGGATGCTTCCTGACCTCTGAGGCCCAAAATGTGCATCTAGACATCACAGAAAGATGGCATATTTGAAAGCCTTGATTCCTCGAATGGCCTTTACAGTCTCTTCAAAGACTTACCTGCCCTCTCATGGGACATCATATGCTGGCTTGATATAAACCACTGCAAATATTAAAGGTCCTTTGGCTGTGCCAACAGAGATTGAGTTATATAGCCAGGTTTTCCTCCCAAGGTGGAGAGGCCACACACAGGGCAAAGTAACTTGTGAAGATCAAAATAAATACAATGAAAGATTAAAATGGTGGTGGGCCGGGGATTTAGCTCAGTGGTTCCGCCTCTTGCCTTGCAAGCTCAAGGTCCTGAGTATGATCCCTGGTACCAAAAAAAAAAAAAGGATTAAAATGGTGGTGGTGATTTGAATTAGGGATGTTGGGGAAAGGGAGAGAAAAGTGACTGTCTTGGTCTTAGATTTGTGGAGTCAGCTACACACTGCATGGTGGGAGTGTCCTGGGCAGTGACCCACCCTGTACTCTCAGATCATAGCCTTTCACAGGTCAGGACTTGCCAGAGTTGTCCATGTGGTCAGCCCCAAGCTGGCCCGAGAGCTGCAGGTCGTTTTGCTCCCAGTAGTGAATCCTCTCTGTGTTCACAAAGATCATGGTCACTGCTTCTACATTTGATATCTTATCAATGGACCCTTTTCTGTACAAAGAACACTGAAAGACAAATTAAAGGGAAATGAGAAATGGCCCCAAGAAATGGCCTCTGTCACCTGCTAATGGAACTTCGTTGTCCTTTGGCAGCACCCTGATGTGGGATGCATGCTCCCCATGGGCACACGGGGCAGGACCGAAAATGGCGGGGTGGGTGTGCATGGGGATGTTTCACTGGAACCTGGAGGGAGGCAGCCTTGGACTGGATGCACTGCTCTGTGGGCAGCCCCTCTGCCATCATGGGGGTTTTCCATCTGTGGACTATGAATGAAAGGTTGGCTGCTGTGCCCAGGTGAGACATCACCGTGGCTGTGTGGGAAGGGAGAATGAGGTTGTGGCTTCTCCCTGAGTTGTCATTAGGCCTGGGGAGGCAGTGCCCCCGCTGCACCCTCAGGCTGATGTGCACAGCATTTGTCAGGGAGGGCGATGAGTGGTTGTGGATGATTTTGCAGATGCCACAGGCTGGCATAGTAGGCCTGACAGGGGAAGCCAGAGTCTCCTTGAGGATCCCGCCCCCGCGGGTGGCTGGAAAAGATGGCAGTTTCCCTCTTCACTGGCTGCCACAGATCCGTCTCCCACGCTGACTCTGTGCCCAGCTCCCCCCATCCACCCCCACTGTTGACCTTCTGTAAATGTTCACGGTGGTGAATGTCCTTCCTCCTGTGTGAAATTTTTGGCCTGTGGAGACGATTCTTGGCCCTCGAGAGGAGCCTCAGCAGTGGGCATATTTGAGTAGCAGAGGGGCCAGTTCGTTTGAACAAACATTTGATTGTGCTCTAGCTCTGGGGGTTGGGGAGACAGATAAGGACAAGACAGCCTCTGAGTAAGAGACTCAGTATTTGGGGCAGATGGGGACCCAGCCAACTGGGAGGTGAGAAAGGCTGTGGGGAGTGATAAATAGAGGCACCAAATGTCCTCAGACACAGGGGAGACATGATTTCTCATTGAGATAAGGTCAGGGGGCTGGCAGAGAGCTGAGGCCTTCCCAGGGTTGGTGACCGTGCCCCCAAGCCATAACCTTAGCAAGAAGATGCTGATTGAAATTTTGTTTCATTTTCTTTTTGTGGCCCAGAACTTTCTTACTGAGCCATTTCTAGGCCTTTTTAAACTTTTTTTTTGTTGTTGTTGTTGTTACCAGGGATCAAACTCAGGTCCTTGCCCTTGTGAGGGAGGTGGTGGAACCACTGAGCAAAACCCCTGGCCCTTAAAGTTTTTTATTTGAAACAGGGTCTTGCTAAATTGCCTAAGCTGGGCTCACACTTGGGAGCCTCCTGCCCCAGCCTCCCAGAGTGGTGAGATTACAGGCGTTCTCCACCATGCCTGGCTTGTGCTGAGTAGAATTTGGAGCTATGGCAATGAAGCAGATTTGGTCAGGAGCTCGGAACTTTTGGGAGGAGGTTAAAGAGCAGGAGATTACCGAGAGTAAAAAGAGGACACGTTTTGTTTTTAACTTTGTGTTACGGAAAATTTTCAAAACTTTCTTAAAAGTACAGTAAATGGTGTAGTGGGTTCCATGTCCTTTTTACCTCCTTCAACAGGAACCGAGTCCTGGGCAGCCCTCGTTCACTCATCCCCCCTACTCCTTTTAGATGGAGCATTTGGAGCGTTTTAAAACAAACTTCAGACTTACTCAACTTGTAAACTGTTCAGCATGGGTCTCCCGTAAGGACTTCGTTGTTAGTATAACCTCCATGCCAGGATCACCCCCTCACAAAATCAGTGATGATTTTTCCGTCTCATCCAGACTCCCGTTCCACATTCACATGACCCCGTTTCTTGCAGGGGAACCATTACCATTAGTTTGTCCACAGCAGGACCCAAGCATGGATCACAAATGGCATTTGGGTGACGTCTTTCAGGTCTCTTGAGATACTACAGGAGAGAGATTTTTCTGGAGGTGAAAAATTGCTCAGAAATGAAAAAACAAAAGGTTAAAAGTTTACAAAGCAAGGCGTGGTGGCACACGCCTGTAATCCCAGCGCTCAGGAGGCTGAGGCACCGAGGATGGCTGCAGGCTTGAAGCCAGCCTGGGCTACATAGTGAGACCCTGTCTCTAAATAAATAAATAAAATAAAAATTTTAAAAATACAAGTTAGAAAACCAGAGGTCATGGAGAAGAGGATGGCAAGATTTCACATGCGCTCATGCTGAAGACTAACTCCAGTAAGTGAGGCCAGGCCGGGAGAGGACGGGGGTGTTTCCACCTCCTCCCACTGGCTTGTTTCCTGTAGGTGATAACCGCAGGCCCCTATGCTTCTCCCACCGGGTCAGGAGGAGCCCAGGAGACCAAGGCTCAGGCCCTGCGAGCCTCACCTGCCCCTTGCTGGGAAGGAGGCCAGCAGGCCAGTAGGGCCACCCAGCACAGGGAGCAGCCGGTGCTGCCGGAAAGGGAAGTGAGTGCCCCTGGCTTTTCACAGTGTCAGTCGGTGGGGGTGGCACAGCTGGAGGGCTGAAAAGTTGTAATCTGTTGGCAGTTTCTACAGAAGCCCAGTATTTAGAGAACATTGCCCAGGGTTGCCTCTTCTGCAAAGCCAGAGCTTCTTTTTCATCCCTTGCTAGTAGCTGCTGCTTTTTTCTTTTCCTTTTCCTTTTTTTAGTACTGAGGATTGAACCCAGGGTCTTGCTAAATCACTAAGTTGCCCAGGCTCAGTTCAAATTTGAGATCCTCCTGGCTCAGCCTCTCAGAGCGCTGGGATTACAGGTGTGCACCACCACAGCCAGCTAGACTTTTTCAAAGGCATTCAGCTTGACATAAACAATGCCTAACTCCAGCCACAGTTTTCTGAGTTCTTGTCTCCCTTTCCGACATTTTTACAAGAGTCCAAACCACTCCTCGGAGCCGGGTCAGAATTGTCCAGCTCCCTAGCATCACTGGACCACGAGGCTGGAAGGTGGGCATCGCCTCACACTCCCAGTTTAATCCAAAGTGTCCTCAGTTTGCCCCCCTCCTCCTTTTCCTTCAGGGAGCTGAATGCAGCAGAATTTACATCTTTGAGTTTCCAGGCTAGGATATTGTTGAGCCTCTTAGCAACCAGGGAGGCTATTGATTAGGAAAGGCCAGGGGGCAGATTCCCAGCCCAAGGCCTCCTCCCTCAGCTCATGCTGTTGTGTGTGGCACTCACAGGGCCTTAGAAGCAATCACGCTACTTCCCATCGGTGGCCCTGGGAGCCGTCCCGCCTGACATTTCCCCTGTGTGCCTGTTGGCCGTCAGCTGGGCGCACAGCCATTTCTCCCCTGGGTGAGGGTACCCACCAGTAAGGGGACAAAGAGTCCCCTTTCCTCACACTTTTTCAAACTGTCCCTTTGAGGGGCCCTGGCCCCTGCCAGCGTTTGGCTCAAAGACCAGTCCTGGCTGAGTAAGAGGCAGGGATTAGTGAAGTTAGAGGTAGAGATGGTTTATGGGTTGGGGAGGCTGTGTGCTAATCACCCTGGGAAAGAGATATTAAGATGTGGGAGTGTGCGGGAGGGGGCTAACAAAAAATGTACAACAAGATGTCAGGTTGGGACTCATGCAGTAAAAAAGCAGGGCATGGTCTAGGGTAGGGGTGATTGGGGTGCTCTTTTATTTAGGGCAGTCAAGCCTTTCCCGAGGAGGTGATACTTGAGCAAAGTTCTGAACCAAGTGGTAAAGTAACTATAAGGAAGCAAAGCACTCTGGGAGCCTGGGCCAAGGAGGATTGCAGATTTGAGCCCAATTTAGTAATTTAAGGATGGAGAGGTTGCTTGGTGAGAAAGACCCTGCCTTACTTCAATTCCTAGTCCTGGGAAGGAGGGATGGAGAGGAAACAAGGACAGAGAGCCCAAGACCTGGGGTTAAAACAGACCCGTGGGCTGGGAGTCAGTGGACTGGGGAGAGGAGGGGTGGAAGTCAGGTTGGAGGAGGCAGCAGATGTTGCTCTTGGGTGGCATGGAAAGCTGCAGGCAGCTGACGGGGAGGAAATGCCAGTCCTCGGCATGAATGACTTGCCCTCTGCCTACTCCTGTGCCTCCAGGTGGGACCCAGACCCTGGGCGGGGCTTACAGGTGTGACAGGTGTTTAAGGAAAGGGTTGGGAGTTCTGGGTAGGGTGCGGTGTCCTCTCAATGCCCTCCTCCTTTCCTCTTGCCTTTCCCCGTCCCCCCCAACACACACACACACACACACACACACACACACACACACACACACACACACACTTTGCCCCGACCACTGTGTTCCTTGGGAGAGGGGATCAGTCTGGCTCTCTCATCTCCCTGCCACTGCTTCCTGATCCCCAAGGACTCTGCAGCTCACCCACTTCCAGGCAGAGCCACGGGAGTCGTGGCATAGTGACATCCTTTCTTGGGACTTCATCCCAGTTTGCCTCTTCAGCAGCTCAGGGAAACAGTTCAACCATGCACCTGTTAAGCCCCCTGCACTGTTGGTTCTGGGTGGAGAGGAAAGTGGAGCTGGGACATTGTCAGAAACACGAAGAAAGCTTTTGCGTCCGCAAGTTACTGGCCAGCAGTGGGACACCTCTACCACAAAGCTGCAGAGACAAATGCCTCACACAAAAAAGGAGCACAGGCTTTGGTCATGTCACAGAGGGAGACCTTATTT